AAAACACCTCCTAGTGGCTTGTTTATTTTTGCTAACTGTATCATCTCTGAGATAAGCTAGTTATCCCAGTCTTGAATGTGAGGAAACTGAGGATCTAAAATTTGAAGCAAGTAACAGAGACAGAGTTTGAATATTTTGGTGTTTTGAAAATTTTTTAATCATTATATTTCCCCAAAAGAGGTATATCTGTCACAAAAGGTGGGTATAAACATTGTGCTGGTTAGTTTTATCTCAACTTGATTGAAGCTTTCATCTGAGAGGAGGAAACCTCAGTTGAGAAAATGCCTCCATAAGATCTGACTGGGCATTTTCTTAATTAGTAATGGATATGAGAATTCCCAGCCCATTATTGGTAGTACCACCCCTGGGTTGTGTCCTAGGTTCTATAAGAAAGCAAGTTGAGCAAACCATGAGGAACAAGTCAGTAAGCAGAACTCTTCCATGGTGTCTGCATCAGCTCTTGCCCTGTTTGAGTTCTTGCTCTGGTTTCCTTCAATAATTGAATATGACAGAACCATACAGTAAGAACTAACTGGCCTTTTGAATGGTAGAGTAAGAGTATTACAAGGAGGATTGATTAGGCTTAGGAATATTAGCTTTAAAAAAAAATTGGAAAGAAGGGGTTGAAGTCCCTTAAGGGATTTAGGTATAAACTGTTGTGGAATATTAGTTTGGGGTGTTTTACATTTGTTTATGCTGTAAAATGTTTGTTTAATGGTGCAAAATGTGTTGCATTCTTTTACATTGCATTTGTTGAACTCTGTGAAGCTGGGTTGCTTTTCCTGTCTAGAACACTTGATTGGTCTAATAAAGGGCTGAATGGCCAATAGCTAGGCAGGAGAAAGGATAGGAGGAACGCCAGGCAGAGAAAATAGGGGAAGAGAAGGGGGAGGAGTGAGAGAGGAGAAGGGGAGGAGGGGAGGATGCCAGGGACTAGCCACCCAGCAACACAACCAGTCATGGAGTAAGAAGAAAAGAAAGAGATATAGAATAAAGAAAGGTAAAAATCCAGAGGCAAAAAGGTAGACGAGATACTTTAAGAAAGCTGGCTAGAACCAATCCAAGTTAAGGCCAGGCATTCATAAGTAAGAAAAAGTTTCTGTGTATTTATTTGGGAGCTGGGTGGTGGACTTGCAAAGAACAAGAGTAAACAAGAAAAACTACAATAAACAGGTTCTGGGACTTTGATGGGAAATATTCTTATGGGAATGGGCATGATATGAGAGTATTTGCTTGGAGCTGATGTGTTCTAGACAGAAGGGAAACCTGGATAGTTATTGAAGAAGGTATACTGGAGAATAAGGAGCACTGGGGTGGAGGCAGTGTCTGAAAAACCAATAGTTTAGGTTAGTTTAGGATAGAGATGTAACCTAGTTCCTAATTTAGAAGGAAAAGGGAATCCCAAAGTCCATGCAGAATAAGAGGCCCCAGTATCTACAACAATGGTTCTCATCCTTCCTAATGCTGTAACCCTTTAATACATTGACTCCTAACTAAAAAATTATTTTGTTGCTACTTCCTAATTTTGCTGCTGTTATGAATCATAATGTAAATATCTGATATGTAATCCCTGTGAAGGAGTCATTCAAGGGTCATGACGTACAGGTTGAGAACACTGATTTACAAGGAAAGCAATAGTCTGCCACAGAGGGAGCTGTAGGGATTCAGTCATTTGGATGATATGAGATGGGGTCTGTTACAGTTTGGGGATATATTAATCTTCTCAAGAAGGCCCAAAATGTACACGACTAAAGAGAAGTACCATTTTGTACTTTAGGGTTGGGTTTTGGAGAGTTTGGCCCTCCCTTTTGGAAGAGGGATCATGATGGGGGAGGTCCTTCTGTGTATGTTTGTCTTATTGGTTGATAAATAAAGCACCGTTGGCCAATAGGGAAGCAAGACAGGCGGGACTAGGAGAGAAGGAGGATTCTGGGAGATGCAGGAAAGGAAGAGAGTTGCTGTGTGATCTCAGGAAGAGAGGACACATAAGGCCAGCATCCTTGGTAAGATAAGTCCTTATAAAATATATAGATTAGTAGTTATGGTTGATAATTAAGACTGAGTTAGCAAATAAGAAATCCCAGTCAGCTCAGCCAAGTGAGAGAGAGCCACATGCTCGCCTCCCTACTTCTTAAACCCCTGTTACATAACTGTGACCACGCCAAAGTGGGTGTGGTCAGCAGTACCTCTAATCAGGGTTTCTCCCTACAGGATCAATTGCCAACTGTTTTACAGTCTGGACACAGTGTTGGAGAAGGGGGTCTTTAATTGGGCAGCTTTTGATCCAGTGACCAGTACGACTGGTCTGAAATGAATTGTGAGGTAATTTGATTTGACAAAAGGATGGCTTTTGTTGCCAAAAGTGATGCCAAAAGTCATCATTTGAAGTGCCAAATTTAAGACTGAGCACACAGAGTTCTTGTTAGAGACTGATCACAACACCATGTTATTCTTCATTTTTATTTTTAATTTTTTAAGATGGTGTATTAATCAGGGTTCTCTAGAGGAACAGAAATATATAAAGGGGATTTATTCTAATTACTTCTAGGCTGTGGCCCAAAGAGTGCTAGGAGATATGATGAAGAATGTTTCTAAGTCAGTGATATTTAAACTTTTTTGCTTATATCATGGGAATTTCCCACTGTAAGGGCAGTGGGAATATAACTGTAAATGGTTGCAAAATATTCCACTAATGATGTGTCATGTCTTATCTGGCCTGCTTCTTGAAACTGCTTGAATGGTCAATCCAGCTTTTTGTCTACAGCGACTATACAACTGTTCTCAACTCCTCTCTAGGATAAGCCATGAGAGCAGTTATGAGAGCATTAACCTATTCTTTCTTTGAACCAGGTCTTTTGAAGTGGATACCAGGAGGGAAATGGGTTCAAAGTTGGTCTCCTAATTGAACAATAAGAATAGTCTACTGAGACAATTCTGTCAGTATAATTCCAGCTCCAATTTTCCAGTAAATTATATTAAAATATAGAAAATTATCAGTAAGCATGATTAATTTTGTCTAATAACAATGTATTAAAAACAATGCTAGAGATGGTTACTATTTTGAATGTGTTTAAGTTTATACATGAATTCAGTAATAATATTGGAAAGGAAAATAGTTGGCTAATTCATAGCCACTATTATAAAAACAGTAACAATTGACATTGATTGAAAACTTGCTCTGTGCACAATGCAAAGATTTTTACATAAGCCATCTTACTAACAAGAAAACTAGCAGATGGACTGCTATGTACAGTGAGCTGTACTGTACACAACCAGAGGCACAGAGTTCCTCTTGAGTACAGACAAAGCCATTCCCTGCTATGTCATACTTTTCAGTCCTTCTGAATCAGAAAGGACATTGAAACTATGAGAAGAGGATTAGCAGATGAAAAAACAAAGACCCAAGAGGAGAAGTTGGCTACCTTTCCAAAAATATGAGGCAAAGCTCAGATATATCAAAGGCATATGTGCTTATAGTTCTTCACAATTGCTGCTGCTATGAGGCAGGATTAAGGATTCATGCCCCTAAAATGAGAGGGCTGCTTCCTCTGATTTGGACACCAGACTTGGTGTGTAGTATCTAGCCTGACAGGCAGAGAAAAAGCTAGATGTTGGAGAAAGTAAACCCATTCTCAGTACTCATTCTCTGTGTCTTTTGTCTCACCTCTTCTCTGTTTCTCTCTATCCACCCCCATAAGTTACTGACTACCCTTCATTTATTTCAACCAAGAAAAAAAAGTATTTCGCTTCCAACTAGGCTATATGGACAGTATGAGTTTTCAGCTGACTTGGGTCCTCATGTGGTTCCTCCCTGGGGCTCACTGAACACACTCACCATGGTCCTGCTATTCTTCAGCAAGACTCTTGTGTGCAATGGCACTCAACCAGTTTCCAGAAAGAGTTTTGCTAAATCCTGCAATTATGTGTCCAGAACATTTAACTGCAACTTGAGATAGTTTCAGCAAGACCTAAAACTGGCCTCCACACAGAAGATAACATACACTTCACTTCTCTGGCAGATAGTTTTGGTCTTCTGTCCAACTTTTTGAAAGATGGAATTTTGGAACTATTTTCTTAAGCTTTCAGCATTCTTATTTTAATCTTCCACGCCTAGTGAACCCTAGGTTTTCTCATCACCTGGATTAGCACAAACAGGAGTGATTCTTGCAGGTGTTAGAGGTTTTCTCAAAAAGCAATGGGACTTGCAGTACCAGCCAATGACTTCTGGATGTAAGCCAAGTCTCAAACCGCTCTTGGTTTCTTCCAGCCCTGACTAATTTTGACATGGAAAATGTTTCTTTTTCGTTCATATCATTGCCCTTCAAATAGTGTATAGAAACTATAGAAATAAATCAGAAATTTTCCAAACCTGGTGAGATCACTTTAAGAATTAAAAGGACGGGAGGTTGTGGAATACACCTTTAATCCTAGTACTTGGGAGACAGAGGCAGGTGGATTTTTGTGAATTTGAGGCGAGCCTGGTCTACAGTGCAAGTTCCAGGACAGCCAAGGTTATAAAGGGACATGGATGGTTTGTATATTGGGAGCGAGGGAGCTTTTCCTCCCCCTAATCTCTGGAATTGAGAACTCCCAACAAGGAAAGACCTCAAGGACCTTGGGAGCTTGAAGGAAGCCTCAGATACCTGGCACTGAGCAGGCTTGGTCCCTAGCAGCCTTTCTCTGTTCACCGTCCGGAAGAAAGGCGGGGGGAGGGGACAGAGGAGAACATTTGGGAGCCGTGGCTAGAGGTAACGAGGTGGGGTATTCCTGGAAGAAGGGGGAACGGTAGGTAGGAGACAAGCGAAGAGAGATGACACCTGACAGGAGGCTGGGGTAGGGTGGTGGGATAGGGCCCGAGAAACAGAAAGGTAAGGGGGCGGGGACACCTTGCTGCGGGCCATGAGGCGGGGACGCCAGGTGGAGGAGGCACCGTGACCTGCTTGGGAGGAGCGAGCTGGCGCTGGAGTGATTCACCTTTCCCGGCTCTACAGGCTCGCCCCAACTCCGGATCTGGGCGGAGGGGCCCTGGGGCGTGTTTCCACACCCCTTGCGGACTTCGGAACTGACTCGGACAAACTGGCGCCGGAACAGGAGTGGTCTCTCCTGGACGACAGCTTGGTGGGTTCGAATCCTGCAAAAATGAGGGCCCTACCGACCGTCGACGCACTTGCGAGAATGAGACCACCTCTCCGGGACCCCAGGACGGCGGAGGACACTCACACCGTGAGGCCAGCGAGCAAGAGCGCGGGAGGGAGACGGGTGGCCGACCGTGCCAAGTATGTTCGTAGCATGCTGGGATCCAGCCAGGGTCCTGTTTCAGAGTGTAGGGTACCTGAGGCCCCAGGGGTGCAACACCGCAACCCAATCCCTTCGGCTCTTGCCCCAGCTCCTGTAGCCCGCAGAGCTATCTCTCGAAAACCACTGAGACCTGATTCGTTGATCATCTATCGACAAAAATGCGAATTCGTCCGAGGGCCAGGAGCAGATTGTTCCAGAGGGGGGCTGGTGAAGAAGTTTTTCCAGGGGTCTGCCAAGGACAAAATGCCAGTGGCCCCTGAAACGACCGGGATGTCAGGTGAGGACAAGACGAAGGAAACAGAGACCACTTGGACCAAGTTCAGCCAGGCAGCAGCCACTAGCCCAGCCTCTGTGTTACCACCTCCAGCCCCTGTAGTGACCATGGAGTCCCCAGATTTGCCTTTGGAAGTGGCTTCCAAGGTTCCAGTCTCACCCTCCGGTACTGAGCTACAGGTGTCGCATCGCAGAGGATTGCATCGCTCTCAGTCAGATCTCAGCTCCCGCTACTCGGTAGCCAAGGCTGAGTCCGACACCTTCTTCCTTTATTGCGGCCTGGAGCCTGAAGTGGTGGAGGCTCTTGGAAGGGAGAATTTCTCTGCTGGATCCGACTGTGTTACACTCAAAGTGCGTAGTGTGAGCATGGCTACTTCTGACAGTAGCTTCTCCAGGCAAAGCGAGGATGGGTTGCAAGAAGAGGAGCTCATGGAGCAAGTGCCTAGCACCACCTCTGTAGTAGAAAGGAACGCCCGTATCATAAAGTGGCTGTTTACCTGCAAGAAGGCCAAAGAAACCCCCAGCCAGAGGTTGCAGGGACCTGCCTGACAGACACCTGATCCAGGTTAGTGCCAGGAAGCTGGAGGATGGGGTGTGTGTTGGCTAAACTGGGTGCTGGCCAATCACAGCTCATGGTTAGAATACAGGGCCTACAGTATGAAAGCACCCAGTTGCCCTCCTTGTGTTGAATTTTAGTACCTGGAAAGGTCTTTAAGTTAACGCTCTCCCTGCAGGCTTATTGTAGTGTACATGGTAGAAAGCTGAAGTGCTAAAAGATCCAGCCAGCAGTTTCACTCTCCTGTTAATTCCTGTTTTGAAAGTAGCCTCTGAGCCTTAGGCAATTATGAATCCAGACAAACTCCTGGTGGGCTTTTCTGATGTCCTCAGGGCATTCTCAAGCTCCCAGTAAATCCTGATATCTCACTTCCAGCAAGACTCTAGGGGATCCCTCCACCCCAGGCACTGAGGTCCTGAGAATTTGGTAGTCCTTTAGCAAGAAACTATCTGTTTTTTGTTTTGTTTTGTTTTGTTTTTTTTGTTTGGTTGGTTGTTTTTTGCCACTGATGATAATGCGGAGTGTAAGCACCTTCTGGTCCAGGAAGTAACCACAGACTTCTCTGTCTTTGGCCTATACTAAGGTGCTAAGGCTTCGAAGTAGGAAGGACAAGACACCTTTATAGGAGTATTTTTGAGAACAAGGCATTTAAGCATTTCAACAGCTTTTTTTTTTTCATTCTGCCTTTGAGAGCAAGTTACAGTGAAAATTTTTAAAAATTATATTTTCTGGCACTGAAATGCATACTAACCAAAGACATCTTATTAGAATGTGGAATCTCATGGGGCAGACACTTAGATGCTTCAATTCAGCCTGTGTTTATGAACGAGTTGTTGAGTGGTCTTTATACAGATATAAAAATAGTAAGGAAAAGTAGATTAATTTTTCTTGATATCAGAAGGCTCAAACTTAAGTTCTTTCTTATCATTTATTGAAGATTTGCATAGCACAAGTCCCCAAGGAATATATTCAAACAATAACAATAAGAACGACAAAAAAATTACATCAGTTTGTATTTTCACAAAATTGCCTTTGAATCTGAGATATGTGAGTGATGGCAAGGGTATACCATGATGTAGATGTGAGTGTGTGGCAGAGAGGGGGGTAGTAGAAGAGTAGGTATATACAGAGAAGGAGCCAGCAGAGGGCTGGACCCATCTCACATGCAGATACGTTACGGCTGACTTGTTAAAAAAGACAGAGAAAGGTTGTCCAGCTTCTGTGTAGTCAATAATCTGTATATTTTTGTTCTGAGAGTGAAACACAAAGTAAGAAAAATTATCTATTAGAATGAGAAGTGCCAGGCGTTGGTGGCACACGCCTTTAATCCCAGCATTCAGGAGGCAGAGGCAGATGGATGGATCTCTGTGAGTTCGAGGCCAGCCTGTTCTACAGAGCAACTGCCAGGATGGGCTCCAAAGCTACACAGATAAACCTTGTCTCGAAAAACCAAAAAAAAAAAAAGAGGAAGAAAACATAAATTGCCATAAGATAAACTTAGGGTATAAATAATGGTGAGATAACAAGACGGCATGTAAGATAAGCTACAGTAAAAACCAGATTTTCTCAGGGCTTCTGGATGGTTTTGGCAGTCACCATATGAAATTTACCTCATAAATTTACTCCTCTTGACCCACAGAGCAGCCTGTGCTATCTATATAAGCACTACAGAGATACCTGGAACATTGGGCCGATTAAGTGACATACCTGGGCATTCTCTAGCTCATAGAGTTGGTATTTGTTGGAGATCAGAGCTCCAGTCACTTTCTCCAAGTCAAGGTGGCTAGCACCAAATTTGCAGCAAAGTACCATATGTGGTTCTAGCTTTTCTTCTACTTTGCATATGTGATGAAATAGGATTTTATGAAAATCAGCAGAATATTTGAGATGAACAAAGGTGGGATTTATAACTGAAAGACTATAAGTATCATTTACATCAGTAAATGATGTAAATACTGTAGGTTGTAGACTCCTTTGGAGTTCTAACAGCCCTTGCACAGGTGTCACTTAAGACCATCAGAAAACACAGATATTTACATTACTACTTATAACAGTAGAAAAATTACAGCTATGAAGTAGCAAGAAAAATAATTTTATGGTTGGCGGTCACCACACATGAGGAACTGTGTTAAAGGGTCAAAACATTAGGAAGGCTGATAACCACTTATATTAATGAAAGTTTGATTCACTTAGTAGACAGAGACTCATAATTTATAATAAAATATCCTACTCAGAATTAAAGTACAAGTTTATAAGTTTTCTACCCAGTGGGATAAAAATGTTTGCTAGTCAAAATTGAAAATAGTGTAACTGCATACAATTCATAGAATTTTCACACCACCCTCTAGGGACATGTGAGTAAATGGGCTGTCATGTATGGGCAATTTTAGTAGTGTTTCACAGAGTATATAAATCATGAGAACTGGCCTTCCATTTTCTGGTTTTCAACTATCGTCCTGTCCATCAATTTATCAAGTTATTACCTGATGAAATGTAGGTTTTTCTGACTTCTTAAAAATAAAATATACAAATTGCTGGTTTTAATATTAGAATAAAAGAGATAACTTGTCCTTTGGGTAGTTATAGATAAACATGGCTTGATTTTTGAAAAAAAAATCAGATATTCATAGCCACCTTCACATTTCCCCTTTGTAAAGAAAGGGCACCTGTGGAAGCCCTAAACTGTGTCACATATTGGAAGACAGGAACTATGTTCCCTTCTTGGTCTACACTGGGAGCTCTACAGTTGTCTCCAGGAACAGAATATAAGCAAACAAGTGACCAAAAGGCACTAAGGCCATCCTTCCCTGCTTCCTGGTCAGCAGATGGTCCCATTAGAGACACTAATATTTGGAAAGTATGGAATCTGTTTGTCTCAAGTATTCCATTGGACAGCCTATCTTGGTTTTGGTTTTGTTTTCCAACACTAGGCCAGTATTCCTATGTGGAATATTTTGTCAGTATTCCACCCCATGAGTTGTTGAAGAAAAAGAGAAATTTCAAAATTCCAGGAAAAGGCTTGTAGGGAGAGATATTTTTCTATCAAAGAATCCAGATAAAGCTTTCTTTAATATACTTAAAGGGTTTTTTTTCCAAAATTTAAACACAAAAAGATATTTTGAAATAATAGAACTTTTATAAAACCAAAGAAATGGGAGGCCATATTCTGTTGTACTTTTATAACAGATGAAATGTTACTTATGGTTCCTTTCTATTTTCTCTACAGGAAACAATCTTTTCCAGTAATGAAGGGACCCTTAAATTGAAAGGACTACTGAGCCATGTGTTTGGTGTACCCCAACAATACATAATTGCTGCTTTCCTAGGAATAAAGCACTCCATTGACAAGGCTTGTATATTAGCCATGGCGAAATGCTGTGGTGAAGATAAGAAGGCAGATATTAGTAGCTATGAGAGGCATTCTCGTTATAGGAGTGTATCTCAAAAGGCAGCTGAGAAATGATAGCTGTTGGAGAATATTTTCAGGACATTTTCTTTCTGACTTACTGGCAATTTCTGCAATGTGTTTTGATAATATGTAAATGGATGCTTTTAAAGAAAAGAAGCAAGTATGAAATCAAGCATGGATGCAGTAATATACTCCTCTCAACTAATTTATGACACTTAAAGTTCTGTAAGCACAAAAAGGTATTCTACTTAAGTTCTGTGGCTGAGACAATCACCCAACACATACATTGGTTTCCAAGCTTTACTCTAACTAAACTGTAGCTATGTCCATACTATACACTGGTCATCTTTTGTAATTATTCCAAGAGGACATTTAAAATCACTTGAGGGCTTCATGTTCGTTTTGTTAATGCCACTTTCTTCTTGGCCATAAGTATGTGAAAACAGGCATTGGGAGATTCATGAGAATAGAGATCCTGCTTTAAAAAAAAAAAAAAAAGAAGAAGTCCTTTTTTTGTACTTGTTCAGTTTCTTGAGATTTGGCCAGTATTCATGGAGTCCTTCTGTTAGTTCTTTAACGATGTTCCCAATAGAGTGTGCTCCATAGCATCCTCATTCTTACCTTCTACTGGAGCTAGAAACTGGTTCACACACAAGGAGCACTTCCCTGGCCTGAGATCTGGTTCTACTTAACATACCAAGGAATTAAGTTTGGCATCAATTCATTGTTTACAGAGGATGTGTTTGGAAGCAAGGGCTGCTTCTGGGGATCAAAGGTTCTAGGTTGTGAGTATGGGTAACAAGTTACTGGGCCTCTGGTTGTGAACTTGTCTGTAACATTCACAGTAAAAGGAGTTTAGATTCAGCATCTTCTGAGAGAAATTATGTGTGAACAGCAACTCAACGAAAAATTGTCAGTCAATTCCTTGAAACTTCATTGTATATTTTTCAAAATGTATTCTTTAATCTTAAGATATGAGATTTGAGGAGAGTATGGAAGAAATTTTTAAATGGTAATATTTTATGTCATTCCACTTTGAAATGTCCCTGCTTTTATTTTAAAGATGTATTATATGTAACTGTTTTATTTTAAGAGTAGTTTTTTAGTTACAAAAATATTTATTTTTCTACTTGCTAGTCCTCAGGTAGGTTTCTTTTATTTCACATAGCTTCCCTTTCATCATTTCAGTTTTGTATAATTTTCTCTGTCATCTTTTCATGGGTATTGTTTATTTGAACGTTTATATTTTGTTTGCAAGTGAAGCTCTATGAGGCTTGTTTCAAATATATCACAGATGATTATTCTTGGGGTTTTGCCTCTTAAGACAGCTTGGGAAGTGTGATCTGTGCTATCCTACATGCTGCTGTTTTGCATGTCACTGTATCACACTTGATTTTAAAAGGTGTCACAATGACAGCAATTTGTAAAAGATCTTTCAGGGTGTGCAATTCATTATTTTCAGGTGTCCCATTAGTTTTATATGTGATTGTCTTGAGAAAAAGATTTTGGGGATGGAGAGATGATTCAGCAGTTAAGAGGACATGGGATTTACACTTTTCAACCATGTATTGAGTAAGATGCTGCTGAAAAGAATAGTGTATAAACAATGTAATTAAATATGTTGGAAAGAAGAAAGATAGAAATGACAGTGGCCTTTTGTACTGCTATATGTGAATACAGTAGCAGTGTCCAGATTAAAAGATATTGATGTGCTAATGATTTTCCTCATTATTTAAGCAAATATTTATATCTACATCTCTCTAGCACTAGAAGAAAAGGTGACTTCACTGGTCTCTGCATGTTCCAATAGTTCAAAGTTTATTACAATGCTACAACTGGTGATGCCTTGACCCTGACTTATACTTTCAACAGGTGAGGCAATCCTGAAGTGGTACTGTGGTACTGTGATCTTCTCTCCTCATCAAAGGAAAGCCTTTCAATACTTGGCCGAAGGAGATGCAATGTGTTTGAAGTCTTCAGCTCTCCTAAATATGTACATATTTACTATATGGCTGGAGTAAAACTATTTTAGAGTATTTAGCTCTTTGGTTTTCTTTAGATATATCATGATCATTTGTTTTAAAATATTTCTTTTCATGTTTTAGTACTAGCATCCATCACCCAAAAATGAAGATCAAATAAAATGAATACATTATTTGTACACTTATTATTAGCTCACTCGGCGAAGGTTACTGTGTCTTTCTTAAGTTGGTTCCCTATCCGTCTGTAGTGTTCTGTAACATAACAATAAGTCTTTCCGCCAAGCCGCCTGAGTCCTGCTGCCACGTGGGCGCTTTCCGCCAGGCCGCCCAAGTTCTGCCCGCCACCATGTTAAGGTCCCAAGTAACATAGAGACTTATATTACGCACAAATGCTGCTTGGCCAATGACTAGGATTTCTCATCTGCTAGCTCAGTCTTAATTATCATAAATCTATATATTTTATGAGACTTATCTTATTGGATGCCATCGGCAAGCATCCTGTTTTCCCAGGCTCACATGGTGACTCTGCACTTTCTTCTACCTTTCCCAGAATCCTCCTTGACTCCTACTCCCACCTATTGGCCAACAGCACTTTATTTATCAACCAATAAGACAATCATATACACAGTAAGACCTCCCCCATCATCTGTCCTACACAGCTGGGTATGCTTGTGCATGAAGGTGAGGAATTCTAGTCTCTCTTGCTGCACTGACCAAGCCAGGCCAGCATTTCACTTTTAGTCTTGCTATGACTTATGCCTACACTGAACAGTATCCAGGGGATCCAATGCCTTCTTCTGGCCTCCTTTCATTCATGCACATATGTGATTTGTATAAACTCACCCAACCAAACACACATATACATAATTTTAAAAATTCTTAAATGAAAATAGAATTGTTTTTCCTTAGCAATTGGGAATCTGAACTACAATATTAGAATGGCCTGGATCCTGACTTCAGTAGACCTGGTGCTCAATTTGAACTTTCTTAGGATTTCTGTTAGAAAAAGAAATTGAAGATTTTTTTCTAATTTCAGATACCCACATTCCATTTTTGTGTTATGAAAACAACAGTGCTATTTATTAAAACTTACTTTCCTAGGCTATCACTGATGACAATGACAGCATACACTCACCTGTGTATATTGAGGAATCCAATGTTAAAGTTGGTACTGAAGTTCACCTGGCTCCCTACCTGCCCCCATTCCAGTGTGAAACAAGATAACAGGCAAAGGGAGACGATGGACAGATAAATGTATTGACATAGAGAAATTATGGAAATGAAGTGAGAAAACATGTAAAGGAAGAAACAAAGCAGGGTAAGGAAAGAATAGTGATGCTAGATATCTGATTTATGAACTTATAGCCTCATTTCATTCATGGTTTCTATTTGATGTAGTATGCCTGAACCAAAAATGGATCTTAAAGTTCAAATCATATAAAGAGAATCAAATAAAAGGTAAGGAAAGCATACCTTTTAAAATGGCAGATAAATCTCTACACTAAGGTATCAATTATGTAACTTTGAAGTTTACACTGAAGAAAAAGTACTCACAAATGATGCCCTAGACAACCTACATCTAATTGGTTGTTGATCAAGGACTATATGCTGCCTCTGTTTTTGTTTTTTAATTAAGAGTACACCTTTCCAACTTAGGCAAATAATAAAGAGGTCAGTGCCACAAACTGTAGAGTGCTTCTCCCAGTATAGTTTGAGTGCTGCTCCTCAAACATACTCCAGTATAAGCAGCAGGCTTACCTATAGGCTGTGGTCAGTCAGGACAGAAAACTGTGTCAGGACCCAGTTTTCAACCTGCTTAGCAAGTTAAGATTGCAGTGTCAACATTAGGTACCCTAAGTGCTCCCATGTGGGCTCCCTTATATGTGTTCACAAGGTATCAAAACAAAATATCTGGTAGGCATCTAGGGAAGTGAGCAGGGACCCACCCATCTGGAATAAAGACAGCCATGAGTAAAATCAGAGTTCAGCCCTCATGTAACCCAGGTGGAAAATGGGCCTCAAGCTCACAAAAGTTCTTAGTGTCCACTATGTCCTCAGAGGTGACTCTCTCCTTCCCTAGTCTTCCTGGGAGTCCTATCACATGTAGGGAAACTTTAGGAAGGCCACCAGCTGTCACTGTTTGAAGAGATCTCCCAGTTTCAGTTCCAAGTCCTGAGAAAGCTGTCAGGTGGCAAAGACAGCTGCACACTCTAGGAGGGATCTTTGACTGATACTTCTCCACAAGTTCTTGATTCCACCTCAGTTCCACTTTCTGAGGAAACTAGTGTCAGAACCAAAAGTGCTGGTCTGACATTTTCACTCTTGCTCTACATTCAGCTTGCAATATTCTCACAGGAGGTCCTGTGAGAATCAAGCAGCTATTGATGTTTCTTGACTGAAGGAACTGGCTGGATCTAGTTTCCCTTGTGTTTGGAAGAGCATGGGGTAAGAGAAGCTTGAGAAGAAGCTCCTTAGGAATGGAAGGTTTCCAGTATGAGATATACAGATGCTGTGTGTACTGTTCACACAACTCTAGTGATATCTGAAAGTCCCATTGCTCTAAATATGAGGGAATTTCTTAGATCAAAGAACTATCAAGTAAGAATTTGAGCCCAAATCTGCCTGACTCTGATACTCTTCACTGGGCTAGTTTATTAAAAGAATTTAATGTCTACCAGGGTCTCTTACTGTCTAAAGGTCACAGCCTGACTCAGCCCACAGAAACCTAGACTTGAGCTGAGTTTTGCCATCATGTGATACACTTGAATTTCTGGAAGGACCTGTATTTTGTTAGCTGATACTGGAGCCATGGTGGTTCTGATGCTGCCCCACACCTCATAGAGGGAAACTATTCGAAGCAGCAGATTTCCCTTGCAGGAAAGGGATCCTGTTTGAATTGATGTTAATAATTTTATGTAACATCATGTGCTTTCAAAGGAGTACAAGAAAATTTGAGTGAAAACAAGCAAAGTCTACCAGGAGCTTCAAACAGGGAATATCAGGGCCCTGAGAGAGCAAACTGCTTAGTCAGATGTTGGCTTGATTTTTTTTCTTTTCTTTTATTAATTTATTTTTTACATTCCAATTCCAGTTCCCCCTCCCTTCTCTCCTGCTCTCCTTACTTGCCCCCCACACCTCCCATCTGCTCCTTGGAGAGGGTAAGGCCTCCCCTAGGAAGTCTACTAAGTCTCTCCCATCATCTCGTTGAGGCAGGACCAAGGCATCTCTCCAACTCCACACCCCTGTGTCTAGGCTGGGCAAGGTATCTCTCCATAAAGAATGGGCTCCACTAAGTCAGTTTGTGCATTAGTGTTAGATCTTGGACCCAGTGGTTGGCTTGATTTTTGTCAGCACAAGTTCTACTGCTGACCTGAATGCCAAGTGCAGTGCTTCACATTTTACATGAAACCACAAGGTGGATAAGAAGGCAGGAGCTTCTTGGACACCTCAGAGATGTCTGGCAGAACCATGATTGCTTCATTGGTAGGTGACCATTGATCTGTATATAAATGAGAAAGGTTAAAGCAGTAAAAAAAAAAAAAAAAAAAAAAAAAAAAAAAAAAAAAAAAAAGGTGGCCCTCCCTTAAGTTCAGTTCTAAGTACTGGAAAGATTGAAAGTCTCAGGATTATAAGCTCTTTTTTTTCCCGTCAATATAAAAAGAAAGTGTCTAGGCATGCACACTCCAAATATACATTCACAGACTTGAACATATTTCAAGGCTATACAAATACTGCTCACGAACAAGGAAGAAGAGAAACCAGTCAACTGTAAACACTTTTTCTATGCAGGTAGAGGCATGAGGGAAGCATTACTCATCTATCTCATTGCTCTGGGCTGAGTGAGCAATTACAGCTTTAAGGCCACAGGAAGTCCTTGCCTCTGTTCTGTTACCATATTACTCAACATCATGCACTTTATGTTTGCCCTGTACTGTGATCAGCACAGTTCACAATAGAGTACTTTTCCAAAAGCCCTGACAGAGCTTCAGGTCTTACTTCAAGGAAGACTGTTTTCTAACAATGTTTATTATCAACTTAGTCAGAATTCTGAGACTTGGAGCATCAATAATCAGTATCCGTGGACAAGGTCTGATAATTGAACTGTGGAAAGAGGGCAAAGAATGCTTCTGGAGCATAGAAGTGCCCTAGCAGATCAGAGTCAAGATGCTGTGAGGTGCTTGATCTAGACAACCTATACCTGACCAACATGTTAGTGTTTGGCTTCGGTTGTTAACTTGTGTTGTGTGGCAAAAATTTTCCTTGGAAGATGCAACACATGTCTATTCACTCCACACAGGGAACCTGCAACAGACCAGGGTAGCCAAGTGAGGCCAACTTAGTGGTGCATGCCTTTAACCCCAGCACTTGAGAGGCAGAGGCAAGCAGACCTCTGAAACACTGCCAAAAAGGGGGGGGGGGAGGAAGGAAGAAGAAAAGTAGCCATGGGAATAATGCATGTATATTTAAGTTACATACACTCAAATGGTACAATATTAACATTGGCATTATTGTCTACTTCTTTAAAAGTAGACAATTACATGTATATGTTTCCATACCTCCCCTGCCCATCAACTAGGCTCTGCTCCTTCCCACCCCAATGGCAGTCCATCTTCTCTGAGTTCAATTTTCTGAGCCTTTGAGTAAACATTAATCTGCCTCAATCTATATGACTCCAGATACCCTGAGATCTCACATTACCACTCTAAAAGCTGCCATTTCATCAGGATAACACAGCCTGTTCTCCTGAGTAGGTGCTGCCTCCTAGATACATGGGCCTCCTAACTAAACACTGAACTTCCCAAGATCTCATGCCCCACCCTGCTGGCCAACCAGAGCTTACTCAAGAAAGAACAACCAGATTTGGAGAGTGACACAAAAAGACAAGAGGAGAGGAACAACAAGGGTGTGCCTACTTCTGTTCAATGTCTGTTTACTGGCAGTGACAAAGTCTGATAGGATTAGGAAAACTGGAGCCTTCAATAACAGTTCCACAAAAGAAAACAGTGTATCAATCCCCTTACAGCTTAGTCCTTTCCATAACAGTGTACCTGTCTATTCAGAAAAAGAAAGGTGACTTGAGGAAGAAGATAGACCGATATAACTAATTAACTACATCAGAAACTCAAGTCCAACCT